AGCAAGTATCCAATACCTATTTGTTGAATTAATGAACCTTTTATACTTCTGAAATGGAAGATCTATAGGAAGTCCTAGATCCTTAAAAGGCCAAAATTGGTAGGTATCATGGAATTTAATCTTAAGAATGTTAAGAGGTAGCTAAGCCTAGACTCCTGTTATGAAATTCATGATATTCCAGTATCTTTTCTCTTGAAAAGTACTTATGTAATTCAGATATACTGGCCTTTAATCATGGACACTGATCTTTTTATGTAAGGCAAATATTTATTTAAAAGAAAGGATTAGCCAGACAACATCATTCTTATCAGAACATTAGTTATTTAAATGTTCTTCCCTCCTATGAATGCTAATATACCATACAAACAAATCCTCACACATATCTGCATATGATGACTACAATAAACAAAAATTAAAAGTACGTTGAGAATTATATATATATGTGTGTATATATATGTATTTACATATACATATATATATACATATATGTATATGTATATATACATATACATATACATATGCATGTGTGTGTGTGTGTGTGTGTGTGTATGTTAGTTTACTTTTGCAATAACAAAATGCTTGTGAGCATAATTAGCCTCAACACCATGGAAAGGCAATATAGGGATGGATCTGATTTTCACTCCAGTAGGTGTTTGGTGCATATGCCTCTTTTGAGTATTTCTGCTGTACATCTGTCTCATGACAAACATAAAATGGCTGCATTCACTATCAATTACAGCCTGGAACAAGTCAGATTTCAATTACAATAGGACAGCAAAACAGCTGTGAAATCCCCAAGGGTAGGTGCAAGAAACAAGGGGGTGAAACAGGCATCAAGAATGCTATACTCTAAGGTCCTAATTAGGGAGAAATAAAGTCAAGTTTGAAAAAAATTACACCCCTTAGATGATCTGTTTCAGTGAGACTATTTAGGTAGAGAGAATAGCACCCTAGAAGGCTGTTTCCACCTAAATTCCTATGTAAATTATACCTTGAGTTTAGTTAAATGGCAACTCTTTTAACTTAAAGGCTATTTCAACTTAAATTGTGAATAGATTTTTTTTAAAAAGGAAAATAAATAGAAATCCTGCATCCAGTTCAGATCCAGTTTTAAGACTACTTCAGATACTTTTTTCAGGGAAACATAGAAAAAATTCTCAACAATGAACATTGTGAACATGACTGTTTCCATAACAAGGCTGTTTGCTAAGTAAACCAGATACACAAGAAAGGTTATTTAAGAATACGTAAGTAGTAACTTGTTTAATATGGGTATGTTTGTAGTATTATTTGAAAAGCATGTTTTCTCTACATAAAATGAATACTGATAATCTGATTTCCCCCACAGATAGTTTTGGAGGTGTTTTGGAGGTGTTTTAATAATATTACCAATGAGAACTATAAATTAAAATATAATACAAAAAGTACAAGATTTGATATTGCAAAGAAAGGAAAGATTGCTTCCATTATGTCCTTTTAATAACTGATACTGGATACAAATTATATAGTGGTGACAGGCTGGAGCTTTATTTTATATGATTCTTCACAATTAATTACATTATTATACAAGATAATACTAATGATAGTAATGGAAACAATCTCTTTTTAATTGCTTCTTACTTTTCAGGAATTCAGACTTCTAGAAAGAAGGAATTATATTACTTCTAGCTTTACAAATAAACTATAGGAGCTAGGTGCTCATTCCATTCTACCACACTGCCTTACCTCAGTCTACTATTACAATTTAATACTGAAATATGCACAATTTGGTGACAGAATGAGTTAAGAAAGAAAATATGTGGTAGGCCAAAGCAAAGATACAGCTATTGAAACTCTGAGATTAACCAACTGCCACTTCAACTTCATTCTATATGAAGTTAACTGAAGGATGGAAAGTAATTATTATCCATGAGTAACTTTCAGGTAGACTTAGTTATATGCTTGTTATGTGCTCTAGAGGAGACATTTCTGACTATCTTCATTAAGCATGTTTAGAGGGTGGCTTACATCTCTAAGATTTTAAATTATTGCATATTTGACATTTAGAAACTATTTTGTTCAGCTTATATATAGACGACTAGAGAAAGAAAAACCTTCAGCATACACACACAAAAATATCTGGATTATGAATGGCTAAAATGTACATAGGAGATCATTTCTCTGTTGGAAGGATAGCAGATGGAGAACCTGAGGGAGACCTGCTAAAATGCTGTCCTCAGATCTATTCCATAGGATCGTCTTATAAAATGGAATAATTGATATTTACATTTTAATAACTAAAGATCAACAAATGGCATCTAAGACAGAACCAATGTTCATATTCTAGCCCAAAGCAAGGTGGCTTTAGTGAAGGAGTTATAGTGTATTTTCATCTCTAAACTTTCAAGAAACTATGTCTGAGAGTATATCTGTCAGAATATTTTTTCCTATGGATCTGTAGTTTCCTTAGGTCAGGTTTCATGATAATAAATTTAAAAACAACAACAAAACCACTACATTCCTGTTTCACATCATGGCTTTCAGAGTCCTTTCAATACCTGGTTCTAAACTTAAATGAGTGGCTCAAGTTTTGGAGGTTCCCAAAAAGAAAAAAAATGGCTATAGCTCTTCCCTCCAACTTGAGTAAAATGTCTAAGAAAACATATCACCGAATGGTATATTAAGTTTTCAGTATCTATCATTGTGTCAAGGTTGTTGGAACAACTTGTGAAACTCAGATCCATGGTCCTCAAAGTTATGTCCCAAATTCTCATGTATTCCATGTAAACACACACATATGTAGGTATACAGAAGAATTGGACATGTATGCACATATGTCACTAATGTGTGCATTGCCATGTATATTACATATACATGCATACGTGTGTTTATATATGCTATGTGTCCTAGTGAAATCTTAAGCTTTACACCTGTAGAGTTGTTGTTAATACCATTTTTGGTTCAAAGACATTTGAAAAACATTATCTTACTGGGGAGTACAAAACTCAGGCATTCTTAAAACATTTACCCTTCACCAAGAAGCAAAATGCAAAGCCGACAACTTCATGTGTCCTTTTAAAAGTGCCCTGTGGCATTGTGTTTAATTCTCAATGAAATAAAAAGCAATCATAAAAGTATATGAAAGGTCAGTTTTTGCAATGTCAGGATAGTCTATCATGTAAATAAACACTTAGGGACCTTTCAAGACTCAAATTAAGCTGGCAAATATGTATTTAGATGCTTCTTAAAATGCAGATCAGTGAAATGATAGCTGATAATAGCATTCGTGTATTTAGGGACTTTAAAACATGGATTATTGACTAGATGGACCATAATGCTTCCTGTGGGACTATTACAGTCCATCGTGTAAACACATATAGATAATTCAAAAAAATATGATTCCCACCAGTCCATAAAAGCTTCCATTGAACTAAATACAGTTCATTGGACATTTACTTAGGCCAGGATTTGTAAAAATCTCTTATGAAAAAAAAATTATTAATTATGTAGGGTTTGTTCTGTATTATATATTCCCAATATTTGCATTTGTTTCTCCTCAAAATTTTAATTTTGCATTGTTCTTGTAAAGGGGTAACTGTTTGAACAGCTATTTTGTTAAAAGTGAATCAGATCTGATCCCATGGACTTTTTTTTAAAGTCTGAATGCCTTTTAACTGCTAAAGTACTAAAAGGGATGTTGTCTGGCCATCTGTAAGGATTTGGATTTACCTCTATTTTTAGAATTCTCAGACAGCAGTTCTGAAATATGAATTGTGAGTTGGTAGTGTTTATTTTAAATAATAAGGGGCCACCTAACTGAGCAGTTTTGCACAATACCCAGCATACAGTAGGCACTTAATAAATTCTAGTTGACTGTTACTATGATTGAGTAGCATAAGTGGTAAGTAACAGTCTTCTGGTAAACATTTTACTTCTTATCAATTTAGATTTTCAAGTAGCAGTCTTCAATTGTGGTTCTGCCTGAGGTACATGTGACTAACACAGAAGGGATATGCTGTAAGCATTGAACAAAATGACAAATTACTGTAGAACTGATTGATGATTTAACATACTTTTCCTCTCCTTTGTTTTCATATATATGCACTGCCATGATTACTGAGAAAAAGAGCAATGAAAGGAAATGAAGTACTTTTTTGAACACTTCATAGAAAGATGACCCGACCTAGACATTATCAGACGTGATAATACTGTCTTCTAGTAAGTAGAAACTTTGATTTTTGTCACTGGGCATCTTGTGGTAGGCAGTACTGTGACTTGATCAAAAATTCTCACTGAGATGTATTGGCAATGCCTATTAAGAGGAAGCTTTAAAAATGCTTTCACTAATTCCATCTACATATAAAATAAAGATATATTCATATGTATATGAATGTTTATACATACTACCTAATGAAGATGATTTTTTTGGGATGGGGAGGAAATCTAGGTAATCTAAATTAAGTGACTTGCCCAGGGTCATACAGCTAGTAAACGGCAAGTGTCTGAGGCCACATTTGAACTCAGGTCCTCCTGACTCCACCGCCAGTGCTCTATCCACTACGCCACCTAGCTGACCCTTAAGATGATTATTAAAAGCATGTTTTGAAATTGTAAGGATAAAAGTTTTGGCCTCAGCTTTCCTCTAAACAGGTAAAGAACTATAAGAAAACACACATGATTAGAAACTGACCTAGAAAACACTTATTAGCTATGTTTTCAAAGCTACTAAGGGGCTCCTTAAAATAAAATCTGCATGAAAGTATTTCTGAAACACCCTGCTAAAGGTATATTTGAATCAATCCACAGTTTTCTCTAACTTTAAAAGAAAATGTCAGAATTCTATTTCTCCTCTCTCAGTTATCATGACCAAATTCAGTGTTATATCCATGGTTTTAAGACTGTAATTTTTTTTAAGTAAAGGTGAGTCTTTCTTGAATGTCTAATTTTTTAAAAAAAATTACGTTGTTTGCTTTTATGAATGTTTTTTATTTATTTTTCTTTAAATGGATCTGATATCTTACCACCCATGGTTTGTCAGGTACCCAAATCTCCCACAAGTACTTCGGCATATCTCCAAAATTCAGTGCCTAAAAAGCAAGTAATATTTTAATAAAAAACATGTGTCACTTACGCTACAACACTTCTGTTGTCTTTTCCTTTACTGGCTAATAGAATAGAACTCAAATTAACATTACTAATGTGTACCTACTCAATGGACATGTATCATTTGAGACTTTAAATTACAATCATTTCAAGGAGAAAAAAACCTCTCAGACAAATAAAAAGTTAAAAAAATTAAAAATAAAACCATTTATAGTTTTGCATCAACTAACCATGTTTTCTGTATTACTAGGTTTCTCTGACACTGCACATGCAATACAAGATCTTCCGCTGACATCAAGATTTCATTTTTTTCTGTTGTTCTGTATCACAAATGGAAATTTGTTTCACAATTAGACAGTTTTTAAAGGCATTATTAACATTTTAAATGACGATATTATTAATCAGCCTTATGATATGTGTTTGGAGTATTTAAAGATGCTCCTGATCTGTCACTAACTGATGAATAAAAGTAGTATTTGGGAGCTTGAATCCCCCTTAGGGGCATAATAGGATATAGAGGAAATACAGTATGTCCTGGAAGAGAAGGTTACTCAGGTTTGAGTCCCAACTCCAAAACCACTCAATTAAGCTCTCTGAGCCTCAGTTTTTAGTAATATATACCTTACAGAATTGTTATGAGGAAAAATATTTCATAAAATTTTAAAATAATATTTAAATGTGAATTATTAATTTAAACATATTATTAATATCATTCCTACAAGTAATTTGTGTCATGCTTTTTTGAATAAGAATTTCTTTCATCTGTTGTAAACAAGTCTATGTCTCTCAGCACCTTATATTTAAAACATTTTAAATACATTAAGCAGCTTCATACATTCTAATCAGTCATGTAATTTGAGAGAGAAAGTAGGAGGACATATACATGGCTTCTTTGTAGCCTCCTACATGATAGCATGTAATTAGAAGTATAATTCAACTGTGACTATAACAAATATCACTCATGCTGCTGGGTGGAGTCTTAGAATACAGGGCAGTAACTAGAACTCTCCCCTACCCTGCAGAACATTGTGAAAGTTTAACAAAATCAACTTGATAACAAAAAAAAATAACAACATAAATTCAAGAAATGCTAATTATTCTTTTATGAGAATCTACAAAGAAACTACAAATTCATTCAGAATGCCCTGAATAACAAAAAAAATACACCACAATCATATCTTGTTGCAGAGGCACGTGTAATTTCCTTCTTATTCCACTATATCATAATTGCAAGCAAAACTATTTTTATTCTCTATTCAAGATGTTTGTTGATATACTATTCAAGACTGATCACCTTTTCTAGGATTACAATATAGCAGTGGGAAGTATCTGAAAATAATAGCTCTTACAAAGGTATAAACCTCTACGAGGAGCAGAAGTCTGTTAAAAAAAAATACAACCAGATAATCTCACACTTATTTTCCATGTGCTCTATATTCTTCTAATGTTAACATCACAGTTTTAAAAGCTTTGAAATACTATGCCTACAGACCAAAAAAAAATGTTCCTTTCTTATCTGAACTGAAATATTGGATCGACTTGAGGAAATTCTACTTTTCCAACTAGCTATTTTCAAAGAACTGCTGCATTAAACCAACAGATATCTAGTTTTGATTCTTCTATCATCCTTTGAATACGAAGCCCTGCACCTTTGCTCAAAGAACTTAAAACTACAAGCATAACAAAGGAATAGGAAGTATTTGAGGAATGTTTCTAAATCGTATACCACCAACAGAGGAATTTCCTTTCTTTGATATTTTCCTCCAAAGCACCAGTTTCTAGAAATACTTTAATATTTTTAAAAAAATTTTAACTGAATGGTATGCAAAATTCTTGACTACATCAAGCACACTCATAGCAGATATAAAAAACAGGAAAATGAATGAAATAGCAAAACTTCACAACTCACAATAACCCTATGTGGAGATATATTTCAAATTGCTAAGCTACTCAGGAAATTACTTTAAGAGAATGAAATGGGAAAAGTCACCTACCTATAAGGGACGGAAGCATCTAAAAATACATAGATTTTTAATGGAAACTTACAGGAACTGAAATGTGAAAGCATTTAAAAGAACCCTTCTAAATTGAGAATGGGGTGTGATGGCACAAAATATACTAAAAGAAGACTGTCAGTTTCATACTGTGCTAGTAATATTCGGAGAAAAGAAGTAAATCTTTAAAGAGATGTTTCCAAAGACAAATTAAGAATTTTCTCAGCGGTCTCCAGTGCAGTATATGCTGTTCTTTCTGACCATTAATATGTTTTTGTGACTTTCCCTCGCCTCCACCTAATGAATGAGCCCGCTGCCTTTTTTCCTGTGGTTGTCTGCTCCAGAAATGTCTTCTTCTCAAATCTCCCTCTATTGAAATCCCCTGTTTTGTTTTGTTTTGTTTTGTTTTGTTTTGTTTGCTTAAAGCCCTAAAAAAGCAACTACATTTAAAAGGCAAAAAAAAAAGATATTTTCCCCTTTCAAACTTTTGTAGTACTTTGTCATTCATGCCCTTCCCAATTCATCCCCACACCATGAGTATAGCATACATTGTAACAATCAATTACAGGTTTGTAGAGCTAGAAGGAACCTCAGAGATAACTATTCCAAACCTATCCTTTTACAGATGAGAAAACCAAGGATCAGAGAGGTCAAGTTACTTGCCCATGGACACTTAGGTAGTAAGAATCATTGCCAGATTTTGAACCCAGGTCCTCTGACTCCAAAGTCAGTGGTTTTTCCACTGTACTACATAGCCTCCCATCTAGATAGCAAATATAATTAACACTGGTGACAGGATTACATCTTCCAATAAGTGAATGCTTGCTGAATTGAACTGCAGAATTTAACTTTTTTTCCAATTTTACATCATAGATTACTATGTGGAAAATGGATAATTGTTATCATTCCCATGTTACCAGTAACAATTGCATAGGATATTCAAAGACCATGTATGAAAAGGGTTTTTTTCCCTTTTTATATGAATACCAACTGTATGGAACTTTGCACTAAAAATACTGGATAAATAAGAAACTAAATATATTTCCCTCTTTGCTACCTTTTGGGTGATCACTTCTCAGAATGCCATTTTCCAGTTGGACACAAATAGTTACCATAAAGGTGAAAGAACCATAAATGTATAATCTGGCCATTTGGACAGATGTGAATGTTCACAAAGGCGTGTCATTGTTCCTGTAGTAGAATTCAGTGAAAATGCTGAATTTAGAATCATCAGACTTACGTTTGAATTCTGGATCCACTTACTGCTTGTGTAACAATGACAAAGGCATTTACTTCTATAACCTTCAGTTTGCACTTACGTTAAATAGGAGTATTGGACTGGAGAGCCTCTAATGTCCCCCTTTTCCTTCAAAAGCGCAAGACTACATTTTTGTTACTAAACCTCAGTGGGTCCCAAACTGAGCTTATTATTTTTTTCTTCTAACTCTACCCCTTCTTCAGATTTTATTATTTCTGTCAGTAGCTCCATTGAGCTTCCCATATTCAAACAGTGGCTGTTAGATTTTGACTCTTCATTCTCCCTCACCTGTCACACACAATTGATCACCAACTTCTGTTGATTCTGCCTATGCAAAATCTCTTATATCAGTCTCTTTTATTCCCATTGTCACCATCTTCCTGCAGCCCCTGCATATAAACCAACTGGACTATTTCAAGAGTTCCCTGAAAAGTCTCCTTCCCCCCGCCCCCACTCTCTTAAACTGTCTTTCGTATCTCTGCAAACACATTGTTGTTGTTCATCCTTCGTTTTCGATGACATCACGGGGTGATGTCTTGACATGTGCATGAACCGGATGTAAGTGAAGCAGAGTTGCACAAAGTCCTCAACCTCATTCTTTCTTCCACAGTCATTAAAGCCCAGTGACAAGGCAAAAGAGAAGATGACTGCTGATGGCCCAGGATGCAGTGGATGACCTTGGTGCCTTCAATATCTGACCAAGCTCTATGTGCTCCACAGCTCCTGCTTCAGCTTTCATGGCCTTTGGAACAAATTGTTCACTTTCTCCCATTTCACCTGGGGAAAGTCTTCACATGCTTGGAGTAGACATCCTTCTTACTCACTGACAGGTTTGAGGCCTGTCCATTACCTTCAACCTTCTTTACCTCATCTGCCAAGGTGATTTTATGGGGTTATGGCCAATGTGCATTCTTCAGCTTCTTGGAGTCACAGGCGAGAGTTGAGTGACAGCTCTAATGCATTCAGAATACAATTTGAAGTGCTCTGTATGGCATTGAAGATGTTCTTCAAACTAGTGTCACTCTACCTATCCAATCTTGTCTCATGCTACTTTCCTTTACACATTGGAATTGGGGCCCAAAGAGAATATTTTCTATCCAAACATATTCCTAGCTCACTAACCCTAGACTATGCTTCCAGTCTTCTCTTTATCTCTTGAAATCCTACCTATTTTTAAAGATCAACTAAAACAGCACAACCTTTCTCTACTTTCTACCTCCACAATAATCAATAATGGCCTTTCCCCAAGGAATGTCACAAACACTATTATAAATCTATGCTGCAGATATTACTTTGCATTATGGTGACCTGGTTATGTATTGCTTTCTTTTACTAGATGGTGTGTGAGCTCTGTGAAACCAAGGACCGAGGTTTCCCTAAACTCTGTTTCCCTCAGGGTCTAGCATAATAGTCTGTAAGTAAGTAAATACACACACACACACACACACACACACACACACCCCTAACACATGTTTATTGTATTAAATTGAATCATGTTTCCTGGGACAGGACCTCTGAAACTACACACTAGTCCTGTGCCACCTACAAAGCTGCATAGACATGGAAGACTAGACTGCAACATATGCGGTTGAACCTTAAAATGGGAATGAGAAACCATTTCCTTCTCCCAAACATCATTCCTTCCTACCTAAAATCCTATTTTTTCAAACATCATTCTTTATTACTTCAAATTCTAAATACCATTCCTTGAAGCCTACTACCAGAAGATGGT